AAAAAAAAAAATTGAATGAGTACACAAACTCAATTAGGCCTGATATTTTGAGGGTATAGTAGCGATATTTTAGTGAGACAGTAGGTCGCTCTGCCAAAATGATACTCGATTTTATCATCACTCACCTCCATTATATACTCGATTTTACTCTCGATTATTCTATACATTTGCATTTAATTTGGTGCACCGAACCGTAAAGAAAGCCAAAAATCGAACATATATACTATCAAAACAATAAGCGAACTACGTACACTGCAGTGTAAGCAAAAAACCAAACAAAAAAAGAATCAAATTTTTTTCTGATTGAGAAAACCGAACCGAACAATATTGAATTGCACGAGTCGGTTTTGGCTCAGATTTGCCCACACCTAGTAAAGAGGGAGACATATAGAGAGCAAAAGAGGGAAAGAAAGAGACTATTATGTGCATCATGTGTAATAATCCCTGGGTAGCTTTTGTTTGCTGGCCCTTTTGAGTTAGTTGTGCCTCGAAAAGGAGCTAAGTTGAGAGCAGTGCACGTGTACTAACTCATTCTCCAACATATTCACTGTCTCTTTCTCAGTCAATCACACCCCCCACAAAAATTATTGCAGTCAAACAGTACTGTAATTTTTTTTTTTTTAAAAAAAAAAACATATTGGGTGAGAGCCCATACCTATCTGTTTATTGTCATGCATTTACTTACAGATTCCTTAATTATAGAACATGGGACATCTGATAAAATTAGAATGATACGGAGAAGATTAGCATGACCTCTGCACAAGGGTGACACGCATAAATCGAGAAATGGTCCTTAATTAACGAACAATTTGAAGGAATAAGAACAATTTTTTTTCTTTTGTTTGTTGTTTTTTGCTTTGAATCAGAATATATACTAATAGTTGCATAGTTAATAATATTACAACAACATAATTAAATTAAAGCATAGAATATGAAAAAGAAAGGTGCTTGTTCATTTGTACTTTTAATTTTGTAGATGTAACTGAGAACTAGGCTGCATAAAGAACTGTAACAACACAAATTAATTTAGTGAAATTTATGAAAATTAAAGAAAGAAAGATAAAAAAAACCACAAAGAATTCATGAATTTGTACATCATCCATCCTTCAATTAATCTATAAATTCATCAGATACCACAACACCATGAACTGATCAGATTAAACCTTTATATAAAATTAACAAAAAAAAAAGGACAAATTAAAGAGAAATTAATTAATCCTTGATGCAATTATAAATCAAGAAAGAAACAAGAAAATATAACCCAAAAAACTCAACACAATTAGCACACAAACAAAAACTAGCCAAATCACAACCATCACCACAGAGATTAAACCCCAAACCCTAGCTAGCTAGGGCTCCTACTCAATTTAAAAACTCGGGCGGCCCGGCCCGCCGGCCCAGTATCCCTCGCCCGGCATCATACTCTGCGGGCCCCCCTGAAACGGGTCCCCCATCGGGACTCCTCCCGACCCCGGCGGCGGCGGCGGCTGCACCTCCTCCTCCTCGAGCGGCAGACGCTCGTACGCCGCGTTCCCGAACGACGCAGCCATGATGACGACCGGGCCGGATGCAAGCAGTGGGCCCACGACGGCTCCCCCCACTACCTGCCCCTGCGCTCCGGCGAGGTACACGCTGAGGCCTGAGGCGGCCGGCGGCGCCGGAGGCGGGAGGAACGAGCCGGAGAGGGAGAGGATCTCGAACCGGCCCTGTAGGGCGAGGGCCGGGCCGTGGCCGGACGGCCCACGAAGGGTGACGTTGGCCACGGTTCCGGAGGCGCTGAGGATGCAGACGCCGCGCTGGCGGCGGCCGGCGAAGGCGGAGATGCTCTCTCGGACGTCGCAGC